CGGCCGGCCGGGATGCGCGTGACCGCGGTGACCTCGCCGGCCCTGGTGCGCAGACCCGCGCGCCTGGCGGGCCGGGGCCCACCGCCCTGGTGGGGTCTGCGTTTCCAAAACGGAGAAAGTGATTTTGCCCGGCTTTCGTTAGAGAATGCTGTTTGCAGATTGAGGAAAGAATCCTGCCCGGCGAGGTCTGCTTTAGGAGCTCAAGGGTAGGCTGGTGAGGGTCTGCTGCGGGGAAAGAAATCTCAGCGTCAACAGGCACCAAGACAATGCCTGTTGCCCTTTTGGAGAGGTGGGCTGTGAATTCATCAACTCATCTGTCAACATTATTTACTGGCTGTCTTACCCCGCGCCGCGCTTGCAGGGCTGGGGAACAATGGTGAGAAGGTCCGCCTGTGGCCTTTACAGAGCTCCCCGTCTCCTTGTGACCCATGTGGGGCCACAATTACATAAGGGCCAGCCAGCGTGATCACCGAAGGATGCCCTTGGAGCCAGGAGCCCTGCTGCTAGCAAGTCATTCATTAATCCCATAGTAATTTAGATGCTCCAACCAAGTGTGTCCTAGTAGAAGATGAGTGTATGGAGTGTTACGGGAACTCTGAAGAGGTCACCTAGCCTTGCCTAGGAGGGTCAGGGATGGCTTTCAAGGTGAGGTGACATTTGAGTGGGGTTTTGAAGGAGCAGTAGTTACTCAGGCACACTGGAGGGTGGAGGAATTAGGGTGATCCAGGCAGGAGACACACAGCATATGCAAAGACTTGAAGGTCTGGGTGTTTTGGTCAGGGATCCCACAGGTGTTTGAGTCTGACTGGAGCACAGGGTACAAGGAGGTGAGTAGCAAGATGATACAACGGGCAGGGTCTTGAAAGGTTTCAGGTGCAAGACCGAGGAACACTGGGTGGGGATGGAGGAGGCAGGGTGGTTTCATCCAAGAAAGGCATTAGAGTGGAGTCTGAAACCATGCTCATGTTGCAAAGTCATCCTAAGAGCAGGAATCCTGTTCAACTTTGCAGCTTACTAGTTGGGTGTCCTTGGGCCACCCACCCAATCCCCCTGAGTGTTAGTTTTTTTATCTGTAAAATGAAGTAAGAGGCATGTGGTGAGAATTACTAATGTCCTATAATTTCCATAAAGCAGTGGTTTTAACATCTGGTAGAAGCTGTGGCTCCTTTTCTTCTGTGGAAAAATTAACACATACACCCAGGCACAACTCTGTATATGAGGGGGATCCCCTGGTGAAGAACTCTTGGGGTGAAGTGTCCCAACTCTATGCTTGGCACATAGCAAGAACTCGGCAAATGTTTTTTGACAGATGATCCTCTCTCCTCCCTTCCCTGGGGACCTTTCTCACAAAGAGATTCTTCAGCCTCTGAGTTTGGCAGGCAAGTGTCTGCCTCCTGACATTGGGGAGCAGGGAGTGGCAGTAGGGACAGCTGCAGTGGTCAGAGAGGACTCTGTCTCCCTTTGCAGAAATGAGGCTGTGGTGAGGTCACAGGGGGTCACAGGAGGAATACCAGGCCCCTGCTAGACTATAGTCCAGTGTGCCTTCATTCATCACATGAGGAAACTGAGGCCCAGGGAGAAGTGGGAGAGGGGAGCTCTGGCCCTAGTGAGGAGTGGTCAGGAGACCTGCCGTTTCATCCCACTCCTGTGTGGACTGGTGAGTGGGGGGATCTTCCCCTGCATCTCAGTTTTCTCCCATCTGGAAAAACATGGTGATCGTACTTACTCAGAGTGCAGGTGTGAGCGTTCTAGGAGAGGCTGGCACGCCCTAGATGCCTATTGGTAGAAGTTGACTCTGTATTTGACTTTTAATTATTTGGGACCGTGTCTCACTCTTCTCCCAGACTGTAAGCTCCTTGAAGATAGAAGCTGTGTTTCTCCACTGGGGGATGAGGGGTTGGGGACAAAAGACCACTACTTATTCTCAGTCTTATTCCCAGTCCGGACACTCACAGCCTGGTTAAGAAAACACACCCAGAGTAGTTAGAGAGGGAGTCTGTACAAAGGACTGATTTGTGCACTAGAGGATGCAGGTGGGTAATGGGTACAGGGCTCCACTTTTGAGAAGGTGCCTCTCATCCCCTGCCCTTCCCCTGGGATTGCACTCTGCAGTTCCCAGAGACCTCCATTTGAGAGATGAGGATTCTCAGGCTCAGAACTCTGTCAGACTCAAAAACCAGTGCTCAGCTCCACCTCAGCAGGGAGTGGCCTCGTTGTCTTTCCCCATGTCCTTCAGATACTTCACCCATCTGGCTCATGTTCTCAGGCCCTAGCTGCCTGAGGGTCTCCGCTCTTGTCTCCGCATCCCCTCCCCCTCAGCTGCCTTCTACCCTCTGCTCCTTGTGTTTGGCCAAGCTCATGGGGCATCCTGGAAAGGCCTTCCTACGTTGCCTCCACCCCTGCCCAGATCATGGCCTGCCTTTAGCTGGCCTATATGTTTTAAATTTTTTTTTTTATTTATGCCTATAGCACCTGGTCTTCCTAGGTGGTCTCCCATCCAAGTACTAACCAGGTCCGACCCTGCTTAGCTTCTGAGATCAGACATTGGGCTTGTTCAGGGTGGCATGGCCGTAGCTCCACTGGGGTGCTAACCCAAGAACCTCTGCATGTATGTCTCTGAGTCCCTCGTATGGGATTCCCACACACAGGTATGCAATTAAATTGAGTTATTTTCTTGTGTTAATCTGCCTCATGACAATTTAATTAGACCAGCTGAAAAAACTTTGAAAGGTAAGGTTTCTTCCTTCCGTACAATCAGGTAAAAGTGTACTCTTACCCCTTAACTCAGATATTATGTCCTCCTCTTCAAGA